ACATTAGAGTATTACATCATACTTGTTACATTAATAAAAGGTATAACTGTCCACCAAAACACTACCAAAATTAAAAATAGGATCGCACAAAAAAAAAACTCTCTACTAGTAGAACTTAACAGATTAATAAAAAAAAATTGAAACTAATTGGAGTAGTGTCATAATGGTAATGTTTATACTGAAATATTCAAATATCAAAAAGTGCACACGTAATCCCACCAAAATCGTCCGCCAGCAAATGAAAGGGTATAATTGACCTCTAAATACTAACAAACAAAGGAAACAAGATCACATGGGATATATTCCCCAACTAATAGGACTATTAAGAACAATAGAAACAACATTGAGACCAATTGGTGCAACTGTCTGTGGAATAGGATTTATCGGTAAATATCCCTTAAAAAAACATGAAAACAATTTTTTTTTCTTCAAAAAACACATTAAATGGAGTGTAAAAAAACATAATCATTTAAAAAAATAAATTAAAAAACCCAATTATAAAAAATAATCTAAGCACAATCACAAAATACAATCCAATCATCATCAATACAATCCAATAAAAATAAAATATTGAAAAAAAAAACAAAATTTTAATCACAATCACAAAATATAATCCAATCATCATCAATAATTAGTATTTTATGTGAACTTAATGAATACAATCATTAATAAATACAATCATTCTTAATCAATTTAAAAATATAATCATTTACTCACAGACTTTGAAATATTTAATGGAGTGTAAAAAAATACAATCATTTAAAAAAATAAATTAAAAAACCCAATTACAAAAAATAATCTAATTATTATTATCAATAGTGCGTACTTTATGTGAACTTAGATTAAAAATAAAATTTTGAAAAAAAAAAAAAGTTTTAATCACAATCACAAAATACAATCCAATCATCATCAATAATTAATATTTTATGTGAATTTAATGAATTCAATCATTCTTAATCAATTTAAAAATATAATCACTATATTAAAAAATAAATGATTTATTCACAAACTCTGAAATGTTTTTCTTGCCGAAGCTATTGCCGCTGTGAATGAACTCTCTCTCTCGCCCAAATTTTTTCTTTAGGTTGCTACTGTGGTAGGGTATGCTGCGACTGCTGTAATAATGGGCAACAGGGTTTAAGGTAATATGGTAATAGGTAGTAAGGGTTGGCTGCTGTGGTAATGGGTTTAAAGTAATATGGTTGAAAGGTTGTTTTGGGTTTAAGGTAATAAGCAAGGGCAGAAAGTGTTTTTTTTTTTAAATCAAAAAAATTAAGAAATTAAAATTGAAATAATGGAGCTCCCACAAGATTTATGGGTTAAAAAGGCTCTTTTCCTTATTGTATAATAGATGGTTTACATTAAGCCACATTATTATATAAAAAAAAATTATGTGTAAATTTTTTTATTTGTATATTATTACTATTTTAAAAATGCAATTGCAGCTTTTTAAATTTTATGTTTTACTTGGTACATGCACTCAAAAGTTTACTTGCATCTTGGATGTGTCGCAAGAAGATAAAAGAAAAGAGCACAATTTGAGTACGTGTCTAGGGGTGTAATTTTCGCCCTGCCCATCCGGGCTCGAGTTGAGCCAGGCCTATGTCGGGCCTTGCAAGCTCAAGTCAAAAAATCAGCCCAACCCGGCCCGGCCCATGGGCCAGAAAACTAGGCCCTGGCCCAAGCCCAAGCCCAAGCCTAGGCACAGGGGTATTCGGGCTTTGGGCAGGCCTAAACAATTTTTTTTTTTCACCAAAATTTTATTATTTTTCATTAAAAATAACACTGGGCATCGGGTGGGCCGGACAGGTTGGGCCTTGGGTCGGGCTTTTGGGCGGGCCAATAGGCCGAGCCGGGTTTCAAAACGATGGCCTAGGCCTTGGCCCAAGGCCTCGGACTGGGCTTGGGCTCGGGCCCACCTCGGGCCGCCTACGGGCCACGGGCCAAAATTACACCCCTATACATTTCTAGAAAAATCAGCTTGTTTGGTTGTGATTTCTAAAAAAACACTTTTTAGAAAATTTCATTTTTTATTTTTTGTATTTTTTTATTTTCAATGATTTTTTAAAAATATTTTAAGTATTTTTTAAAAAAAATTTAGACACACCTAACATAAATCCATTTAAAAAGTATAATATTTGTGGAAAAAAATCTTTTAAAAATTCACTAAATACCAAAAATATATATATAAAAAAATTTAGTACATTTTTCATATTTTTGTGTATTTTTTAATTTTTTAAAAATATTTTTCACAAATATTTTACTATTTAGATATATTTAAGTAAAGTGCATCTAAAAAAGTAAAACAAAAAAAATAAAAAAACTTAATTTTAAAAAAACTAAATTTAAAAAACTAAAACGAAAGACACTGAAAAGTGTTCAACATGAATGTCTAATTTTCTTACCAAACAAAAGTAATGAATTGGCTTCTCTTATTTCCTTTCTTTTCTCTTTTCTTTTCCATTTTTTTTTTTTGCCTTAAAAAATTTAAAATTCAAACATTGCATTGGTGCGTTTATCAAGAGACTTGTCTTATATTGATATCTAAGCCACTTAAATTTGATTAATAGTCTGAAAGTCTTATTACTTAATAACAATTAGTTTTATGTTAGATGGCTCTAATATTTTAAAATGCTATCAAAGCTAAGTATTGGTGATCTTTTAAGCCAAGGTTATGTTTTTGAAACAACAATTACTTTCACATAGGGGTGCTCATGGACCGGGATTGGGTTGAGTGACCTCTCATTTGTCATCCATTTAAATTTAGATGAATTAGGAAAAATCAATCCTCATCCGTCCTCTTAGTTAACAGATATGGATTGAGGGTTGACATGTGGATGCAAACTGATGGCAGTTTGGGCTTTATTATTTTGAGTCTTTTTTTTTACAATTTTTTTTTTTAAAAACAATTCTCCACTATTTTGGGCCGAAAGTTTTTTATTCTTCAATTTTTGTAATAAAAATAGGCCCATATTTCATATTTCATAAATAGAAAATATAATTACAAAATAAAAGGTTCTTTTTTAACACACAAAGCATAAAAGTATGACAACATTTTTTTTTGAGGTGTTGATGAATTGGGTTGGATCGGCTAGCCTCCCATATGCTATCTGTCCAAGCTTATAGGAAGATTGGAAAAAAGGCATCTGTATCCATCCATTCAAACCATTGAAACCATCCACTCTACGGTGGATTAGTTTGGGCCATTCAATTTTGTCGAATTTGATGGATGATTGCCCAGCCCTACTTTCACATTTGAAGTTGGCTATATAGATTTTTATTTCACTACTTTGCTAAAGCACTTGTTTACAACAAATATGCTTTGAGTTATGACTTTTTTTTTTTTGGATCAGTAAAAGAAAAAACTTTTTTGATGAAAACAAAATGCGAAACATATGAAATACATCAATAAAGCGAGGCAAGACTAACAAGCATCATAGCGCACCTTCTAATCCCAATTAGGTTGGCACCAAAAAGAACACATAATCACATAAAAGCTCAAGCCAAAGAGATTGGTGAGAAACCAACGAAAGAAACCACAAAACAAACAACCAAAACAAGCCGACACCTCATTGTGGGAGAATTAGGGGGCCAACGAACACGTAGCAACATCAATCCTAATCCATTGGAGAGAAATTCTAAAGTTTACACACACAACATTAGGGCCCAACATATATTGCTTGAAATTCATATCCACGTAAAAGTTTAAACATGTAAGTGGAGAGTCCATCTAATTAATATTAAAACATATCTCTTTAACTCTTTATTCAATATAAGACTAACTTCACATATATTCTAACATGAACATTATGTGTAACAATTTCCTTTTTCTTTACTAATTAACAATGACAGAATCACAAGTCCATCTTATTTATGATGTGCTTTTGGCCACTTCCAAGCCTACTCTTCGTGCCCACATCATGTGTGCAGTTGGTAATTTATAATAAAGTAAAGTTGTTTTAATAAATCATTGGCAAAAATACATATTTCAACCATTGTCCATTCACTATCTCCCCTTCTTGCACTTCTCCATACTCTTTCCTCAACGCAACGCTAGCCATGAACTTTGAATACCACAATAAGGTATTCTTTATTGCACATGAGTAATCTTTATAAACCTACCATGCTTCAAGTTATTTTACTATAATAAATCAAAATTTTAAAGATAAACATTTAGACAAAATGTATTAATTGTAAAAAATGTCACCAGTGTATTTTTAACTACAAATTTAGACATTTAGTACATTGAATTACTATTCTATTGGAACCAAAATTTTTGTCTAAAAAATTAAATCTTTTGGCATGAAATTATTTTATTCCTAAAAATGTATTTATTAGCGATATTTTCAAAAGTTTTGTTGTTAATTTGTTTTTTTTTTTACTAATCTAGATAATTTTTCGGTGATGACTTATATAATGATTGAAATTGTTTTCTAATGTTTTTTGTAACGGAAATTTTACTTCTCTTTACAAAATAATTTGATTTCTGAAACCCTTATATGCTATACTGAATTGGTGTAGGGTCAACTTTTTACTTATTTAATCATCTCTTTATTTGTCTAACAATAATATTACGTGCATAAACAATAAATCATATAATTGTGTACACAAAATTAATGAGTGGGTCAAATTTATTCTAATCAATATGAATCCCATATTTTTTGGGTTTAGTGCTTGCACATGATTGTGTTCTCTTTGCGGTGCCAACCTAGTTGGGATTGTTAAGGTCAGCTATGATGCTTAGTGCTCTTCCCTGTTTTTTTTTTTTTGATCAGCAAAGAGAAAGCTTTATTGATGAAAACACATATAAAGTATGAGAAGATACATCAAGAAAGAGGAGAGTGCAAAAAGCATCACGGTGAACCATCAAGATCCCAACCAAGTTGACACCAAAATGTTCACCAAATCATCTACTAGCACAAACTCCAAGCTCCAAGTTGGTGAGAAACCAACATACAAAGCAAAAAAAATAAGCAACAGACAAAAGCAAACACCAACAATTACAACCAAGCATCCTTCAGGCTCAACCAATGGCAAAACACACCCCTATTCAGCTGTGAACTCCACCCAGCAAAACACCTCCTAAAAAACAGCATCCAAAAGGCATCAACCATAACAGCAATAACCATAGCAGCAAAAACAACATCAATACTACCAGCAGCAACCATAACAACATCAATACTAGCAGCAACAACCATCTACTAACAACATCTACCATTTGCTAACAGCATCAATACTAGGCAACCATAGCAGCAATAACACGCCAAAAGCACCCCTTTACAGCAGCATCCATAACCGCAACAGCTAAATCATTACAATAACCATTAATCCCTTGAGCCACCCTTTAAACTGATGAGGATGCATCACTAAAAAACAATATGCCTTAATGTAATGCATATCTCTCTAACAGAACAATAGCATACTAATCAGACCAGCACAACAGTAGCAAGCCCCCTATGCCATACAATCTTTTACCAGCACCAACCACTGAGCTTCCAATAATAGCAAAAACAATTTTCAGCAAGGGCAACCACTTAATACCAGCAGCAGGCAGCAGCATATAGGTTTGCAACCTCTAATCATCTTCATATACCAACAGACCTCCTATGCCATGCAACCTCTCACCTGTTTCAAGTTTGCAACAATATCATGTACTGTGTTTTTCACTTCGTTACAATTTGATTTCATCCATAGAACAACTCTAACTTTCAATAGCTCCACCATCTCTATACATTTTGCAAAAATCAAACCAGCAACAGTAGCTCAATTCCACCAACACCAACCCAAACCAGTGATCTACCAACCACAGCAACTGCACTTCTTCACTGAACAGTAGCAAATATAACATTCAGTTTCACCACCATCTCACACAACGCACACCAGGGCCCCTACTGCTCTGAAATCTAGCCAACAAAACTCTTTAAAGCAACCTAACCCTCCATCTGCTGCATCCAATCAGCCAAAGACAGAACCAATAAATTACACTTGGTAACAAATCTGCCATAAGTTGGATATAATGTCATACACAGAGTAAGGGAAATTCTTCAGCTTAGACTTTGCCCAGAAAGCCACTCTGAATTTCATTAGATCTTCTAAATCCAGAAAATTAAACAAGCATGCATTTCAAAGTTTCCATATTGACCATAACATAGCCAGAAGAACAATTTTCCAAATTTTCATCACATTCCTTTTAACCTTAACACCAGACCACCAACTTAGCAAGGAATGCACTGACCTAGGAATGACCCAACACAAACCCCACCAACCCACAATCCCAGACCACACTTTCCAAATACAACTACAATGCAATAATACATTATTCTGTGACTCCTCCTCAGATTTGCAAAATACATAGAGAATGTGTGCATCATGCATTAACACCCTAATCCTTTACATAAAAACAACAGATTTCATCCTATCTCTCCAAGCTAACCACGTCATGAATTGAACCTTTGGAGGTGCAATATTATTCCAAATGGTCTTAGCAATTCTGAGATTAGACCCTTTACTTGAATCCATCCGACTCCACATTGAAACTATAGAAAAAGCTCTAGATGAATAAGCCAACCATGTGCAAGAATCTCCTACTTGAGTTCTTAAACTGGGTGCCCGATGCAGGTACACAACCAAGTTCTGAAGCTCCTCCTCTTCCCAAGCAAATAGCAGTCTTCGGAAACTGAAATTCCAATCCTCTCCCCCACTTTTCCTTTGGAAAACATCAAACAATGAATCATCATTCTCGACTGATAGTGAAAACAATCTAGGAAAAACAAGGGATAAACTTTGATCATTAAGCCACACATCCAGCCAAAATTTTGTCCTGAGACCATTCTCGATCACAATATTGAAATTAGACACAAAGAATTCCCTCAAAGATGGGTTAGGGGAAGCTAAGGACATAATATCCTGCCACATGACAGACAACATCCTGGACTCCACTGTCAATAAGCTCCATCTGCCACCACTTTGACCATACTTACTACATACCACTTGTTTCCAGATTACTGTATCTTCCAAGCCATACTTTCACCACCATTTGATTAACAAGCAGCCATTGACCTCACTAAGCTTCCTCACACCATGCCCACCTTGACTTTTATTTTGGCACACCTCCTCTCACTTAACAAGATGAAATTTTCTCCTCACCTCATCACCACCCCAAAGAAAGGTAGACTGAATTCTATCTACCAACTTAGCAATACCCATAGGGATCTTAAACAAGGATAAAAAGAACAGTGGCAGACCTGACAAAACAGACTTAATTTGCGTTAGCCTACCTTCAAAGGATAAACATTTTCTCTTCCAAAGTGCTAATTTTTTTTTTTTGAACTTATCAACTACTGGCTGCCAAGTTCTCTTCCTCCTTGGATTTGAACCTAAAGGCATACCCAGATAATTCAATGGCAATTTCTGAGTTAAACAATTCAACATTTTGGCAAATGCTTTAACCAGATCATCCTCTATACCAATTCCACAAACTTTGCTTTTATGAAAATTGATCTTTAACCCAGACATTAATTCAAAACATCTCAAGATTCTCTTTATTGCCATGATTTCCTCCCAATTGGCCTCACAAAAAATAATCGTATCATCAGCAAACTGAAGATGAGACAACTTGAGTTCTCTATGACCCACCACAGCTCCTTTGATCGTCCCCAAATCTTTTGCTCTTTCTATCAGACTATTTAGCCCCTTTGTTACCAAGTTGAAATGAAAAGGTGAAAGAGGATCACCTTGCCTCAGCCCTCTATGAGGAGAGAACTCTGAAGTGGGAAACCCATTAATTAACACAGAGATTTTAGTTGTGGATATACATGTCTTTATCCAACCCACCCACTTGTCACCAAAATCGAAATTTTACATCATGGAAAGCAAAAACCCCCAGTTTATGGAATCATAAGCCTTTTCAAAATCCAATTTAAGAATAACACCTTTGCTCTTTGTCTTCTTCCGCCAGTCCATGACCTCATTAGCAATTAAGATTCCATCAAATATGCATCGACCACTCAAAAAACCATATTGAACTTCACTAATAATCATAGGAAGAACTTGCCTCAGTCTTCGAGATAGAACTTTTGCTAGAATCTTATACACTGAACTTACCAAGGTTATTGGCCTAAAATCAATCAACCCAATGGGACACTCCTTCTTTGGGATGAGTGTGATGAATGAACTATTAACAGCTTTAGCCAACTTCCCATTTAAATGAAATTCCTTCATCATTTGCACAACCTCAAGTTTTATAACATTCCAACAACTTTGGTAACAAGATAAATTAAATCCACCAGGTTTGGGAGCCTTATTTCCTTCACACTCCTTCACAACATCCCAAATTTCTTCTTCGGAAAATTCTACCTCCAACATACTTGCTGATTCTGGGCTTATTTTAGCACATACACCAGCTAGTTTAGGTTTGTCTAGCCAAGCTTCTGAAAACATCTTATTGAAAAAATTCACCACTGCTTGTTTAATCAAATCTGGCTGATCAATCAAGATCCTATTCTCTTCCAACTTATTATTCCTCTACCATTTACTGGCCATAATATGAAAAAACATTGTGTTCTTGTCCCCATTTTCAGCCCATAACAATTTGGATTTTTGATCCCACATACTCTCTTTTTTCTTATTCAGATCCCATATTGAACTCTGAATCATTCTTCTTTGGTTGTTTTCAAACTCCTGTAGGTCTCTTACTTCAGCCTTTAAATCCCACTCATGTAATTCATCATCAACTTGTCATCAGCATTTCCAAACACTTCACTATACTATCTTCTTAACTGACCTCTCAAATGCCCCAACCTTTTCATAATCTTATAACTAGCCCATCCACTTACCTTAAAGTTATCCCAAGCATTCTTAATGGCAGCTATAAAAGTTGGATGCGTACTCCATGCATTGATACACCTAAATGGTTTAGGCCCCAGCCCCTTTCATCATTCATGATGATAATTGGGCAATGATCAGAGATACTGTAGACACCCAATTTTTGACCGTTCTCAAGACTTGGACGTCATCATTTGAATACTCGATGATCATCCATGCTCGTGTTCGTTTTGAGTTCCTGAAGGTCTCGACTGCGCGCTTTGCCTTAGGATCTCTCAATTTGTTTGTTTTGTTCTTGGTTGTGGACCAAGGACTTGTGGTTTTTGCTTCTGAGGGAAGAGGGTGGCTTGTTGGCCATCTCTACAACCAATCGGCTAAGGCCTTGTGCTATCGGCCTTGTTTTCTTGCCATCGGCCATAAGTGTTGGCCGATCAGCCATATTTTCTGGCTGAGCCCTTTTCATCTGCTTTTTGCAGATATTTTGTACCAGCTGTGACAGCTGGTGGGCACAATTCTCATCCTCCATACACGTGTATGAAGGGATTGAATCAAAACTCAAGCTTGTTCAACAAGCTTGAGAATTGAAATTCTATAAGAAGGGAGGCCCTTCTCCCTTTCCAGAGGTTCTGAAATCTTGAGATACAAGTTCTATATCTCTCTCTCTCTATATATTTTACCTCTCTCTCTTCATTTACCCTTGTTTGTGCTCAAAACTGTAAATTCTTCACACTATTGCACACAAACACCTACTAGAACACCATCCTTTTGTTGCTGAGGTACTTAGGAGTTGGTGTTGGAGTTTTTGGTTTGGTTTAAGCTCAGAAAAGCTGCTGGAGTTGTGTTATTGAAGGTGTTCTTCAAGGGTGAGAAACTACCTTTTAATCCCTTGTTTTGGCTTAAGCTTCTAGACCTATTTGCATGCTGATTTAAGCTTAACTTTCTACGGTAAAAAGTTCTATTTTTTTATGCTTGTGATGTTTGTTTAAGGTCACTTTTGTGTTGGGGGTAGTCTACCCCCTCTTAGGCCTTGTTTGGCCTGTTACCAAGTTGAAATGAAAAGGTGAAAGAGGATCACCTTGCCTCAGCCCTCTATGAGGAGAGAACTCTGAAGTGGGAAACCCATTAATTAACACAGAGATTCTAGTTGTGGATATACATGTCTTTATCCAACCCACCCACTTGTCACCAAAATCGAAATTTTACATCATGGAAAGCAAAAACCCCCAGTTTATGGAATCATAAGCCTTTTCAAAATCCAATTTAAGAATAACACCTTTGCTCTTTGTCTTCTTCCGCCAGTCCATGACCTCATTAGCAATTAAGATTCCATCAAATATGCATCGACCACTCAAAAAACCATATTGAACTTCACTAATAATCATAGGAAGAACTTGCCTCAGTCTTCGAGATAGAACTTTTGCTAGAATCTTATACACTGAACTTACCAAGGTTATTGGCCTAAAATCAATCAACCCAATGGGACACTCCTTCTTTGGGATGAGTGTGATGAATGAACTATTAACAGCTTTAGCCAACTTCCCATTTAAATGAAATTCCTTCATCATTTGCACAACCTCAAGTTTTATAACATTCCAACAACTTTGGTAACAAGATAAATTAAATCCACCAGGTTTGGGAGCCTTATTTCCTTCACACTCCTTCACAACATCCCAAATTTCTTCTTCGGAAAATTCTACCTCCAACATACTTACTGATTCTGGGCTTATTTTAGCACATACACCAGCTAGTTTAGGTTTGTCTAGCCAAGCTTCTGAAAACATCTTATTGAAAAAATTCACCACTGCTTGTTTAATCAAATCTGGCTGATCAATCAAGATCCTATTCTCTTCCAACTTATTATTCCTCTACCACTTACTGGCCATAATATGAAAAAACATTGTGTTCTTGTCCCCATTTTCAGCCCATAACAATTTGGATTTTTGGTGCCACATACTCTCTTTTTTCTTATTCAGATCCCATATTGAACTCTGAATCATTCTTCTTTGGTTGTTTTCAAACTCCTGTAGGTCTCTTACTTCAGCCTTTAAATCCCACTCATGTAATTCATCATCAACTTGTCATCAGCATTTCCAAACACTTCACTATACTATCTTCTTAACTGACCTCTCAAATGCCCCAACCTTTTCATAATCTTATAACTAGCCCATCCACTTACCTTAAAGTTATCCCAAGCATTCTTAATGGCAGCTATAAAAGTTGGATGCGTACTCCATGCATTGATACACCTAAATGGTTTAGGCCCCAGCCCTTTCATCATTCATGATGATAATTGGGCAATGATCAGAGATACTGTAGACACCCAATTTTTGACCGTTCTCAAGACTTGGATGTCATCATTTGAATACTCGATGATCATCCATGCTCGTGTTCGTTTTGAGTTCCTGAAGATCTCGGCTGCGCGCTTTGCCTTAGGATCTCTCAATTTGTTTGTTTTGTGCTTGGTTGTGGACCAAGGACTTGTGGTTTTTGCTTCTGAGGGAAGAGGGTGGCTTGTTGGCCATCTCTACAACCAATCGGCTAAGGCCTTGTGCTATCGGCCTTGTTTTCTTGCCATCGGCCATAAGTGTTGGCCGATCGGCCATATTTTCTGGCTGAGCCCTTTTCATCTGCTTTTTGCAGATATTTTGTACCAGCTGTGACAGCTGGTGGGCACAATTCTAGGGCGGCTTACAATCCAGCAATACAGGCCTCGTATTTTGCTTCATTGTTAGACACTTTGAATTGGAGTTTGAAGGCTACAAGTATATGGGAATCATCGGGCATTATCGGTAACATGTCTATCCCATAACCGTGTTGATTAGCTGTTCTGTTAAAGTACTGCATTTACCACCGCTGCTCTATCTTGCAACTGGCCTTTCTGCCCAAACGGAGGTAACACAACCAAGTTAACAGATGAATGTCTTCCAACCCCACGTCTTTCTCCCTTTTACTTAACCATTTACGATGGTTAGTTCTAGGTCATGTTTCAATTAGCCTACTTATGATAGCATGTTTGCATACATTCATTCGTATTGCATGCACCGGGCTTGGCGCATCATACTAACCGCATTGTATTTCAACTCTTACTTGAATACATGATTATGTTGTTGCATTTCGCATGCCATCTTAGAATAGTCGAGCCTATCTTAGTTGCATTTTGCATGTGTTGCATTAGGCATCTTAACATAGCTAGGATAATGCATTGATTACTAACTAGCTATTGTTTTGGCTCGGAGTACTAGATAAGTTTTTATGCTTTAGCATCTTGCATGTATGTAAGTGTTGCCATGTTAGCATGCTTGCCATGAGGCTAACTACTTATGTGATATAACTGCCTGAATGCTTGTGGGTGAAGGTTGGATTGCTTGAATTGAAATAATTCATTGAAATGCGAGTTTTAAACCCACTTGAGAGTGGTAAAATCATGTTTTTCTAAGCCCACTTGAGGGTGGCAAAATCCATGTCTTAGCCTACTTGCGAGTAGCACCTTCAAACCATTTTCAAACAAACATGAGATATTTTGTTCCAAATTAGGCGATCTATTCTATACTTGTATGCTATGTGCATCACGTAGTAAGCTAGCTAATAAACTGGAATAAGAACACATGTGTTTTCAAAAATAAAATATCATGCTCAGTAAAGCCGATCCTTTGATCGGGCGAGCGGGGGTGCTCATTGCATGACCTTCCCCTCTCATACCCAAGTTCCCGAGACGAGGCAACTTTGGTGATGATGGACACGTGGCCTTAGGCACGAGTCAGGGTTTCCTAAATTTTTCAAAATAAAAATATTTAGGTGGCAACTCTGTATCTGGCAAAGCAGTCCATGTTTGGCACTTGTTTATAAAAATCAGTTTTCTAAAACGATTTGTCGGATTTAGACTTTTTGGTGATTTATTTGTCTTGCATTGCACTTTGCAAGATTAGATTCAGAACCGTGACATTGAGTCCGAACTGTAGTAACTAAAGAACAAAACGAATTTTGCGCCAATTCACGCGCGAAGCCAGGACGTTTGGGCACGTCTACAGTTTCTGGCGACTCCGCTAGGGATTTAGAGAACTTGACTTGAACTCATAATATCTTGTTTTGATTACACTTATGTATTTCTTTGCATTGCATGTGCATTGGTGTGCCTAGGACACCGTGTTTGCCGTATGCTATTCCTAAACGGTTTGTCTGAGGCCCGCTTTGAGAAGCGTGCCATAAGGCTGACCAGTTGCGGGCTCTGCCACGATGGGAACACAAACCTCGGTTTTTACTAGGGCACCCTTTTTGACCGTTCGACCTAGTGCATATCGGAATCCATAGTGACAATTCCAAGCTAGGACAGGTTGCTTACTCGATTATAGGTTGTTTGAAAACTACTGTGTGCGTCGTGAAACCCTAGCTCCTGACAATAGGACAGGGAAACCCTACCCCTTCATAGGGGTGTTTTGGCTCTTACTTGTTTGATTATGTGCTTTTAGAGTTGGCCTCTACAAGAATACATGTATTAGTTTGCAAGTCTGGGTATCAGGCCTGAGGGCATCAGTATTTGGGAATCAGTTTTACCTACGGGTATCAGATTCAGAGATTCAGATTTGAGGCAGTGATTTGGGAACAGTGACCAGTGGTTG